TTTAACATTTACAGCATTTCAATCTTTATACTTATGACACACTGACATACATGTTCACTTATTTAGCCCACAGGGATAAAGTTTGGCTGGATAGCACAAACCTTGCTGATAGATGTTGTAACTAAATCATCCAGGAATTCAAAATTAGCTGTGTATTCGAAATAAATAGCATCTGCAAGCATAGTAAATTATAATTCAGTAGATGTTTTACCAATGGCCAATCCTTGTTTGGAGGGATCTTAAAAGCATTAAGTTGATATTTTTTTCTCGCCTTTGACATCACAGTTCAGTATAGTTGTTAGTGAAGATCATGCCGATCAACATTGTTGTGATGTAATTTTCCTGCATGTAATGGGTCTGCCAGCTGAGCAACTGCTATTTGGATATAATGGTATTGTAGACATTCATTTAGCAATCTAATCCTATTTGTTTTCTTGACACAAGGAGTAAAGAAATAAAACAATTCTGCAAGCATTTAGGTCAAGCGGTGGAAATTTCCGCTGTAGCAAGCTTAAGGCAGTCAAGTTAGTAAGTGGTTTTATTATGAGGTAATGGCACCCTCTGGTGTCCGTAATTTTACACTATGGGAAAAACTTGGTTTTGTGGTAACTCACCAAATCACCACAGTATTGTCACAGTGTCCAGTTGCCAAACACAGCTTTTATATAACATTCATGACGTGATTTCAATGCCATTTTGAGTAAAAGTCAACACTGCTGCACACATTTGACGTAATCTAGAAAAATAGGTCTCCTCCCTGACCACTGGGGCTTGATCTGCTATGTCGATTCCAAAACTAACTATAACATGTAAAAGTTTGAAACCCAAAACAAATCCATGTGCACAGTTTTACATGCATTCATTCATATTAATCAACAACAGATGGGCTGTAATCTGATCCTTGTACACAGCATAACATCCAACACTCTAAAAAATTGTGCTCACTTGCTTTGTCCTCATCTTTCACATTCGTAATTCTGCCAACAGCAGATTCTGTATTTCATCTGCACTGCTTTCCTCATCCTACTTATTTCATGAGGCGTTTGTGCAGATCAACAGAAGTGGCATTAACAGCACTCTCATAAAAGCATTAACAACGCTCATAACACTCCCAGACCGAACCAGCAGGGGAGAGAAAATGTCACATACGCACACCATCTTAGAAGCCAAAGTGCTAACTGTGTGGTGTTATGTTGTGTACTGAGTATTTGGGGGAGTGTATGTCTTTCATTCCATTTTCCATCCAAAGACTTGTTTTTTTGGAACAAGGCCATTTTTCACATCCAAATAGGCGTCATTCCTCTAGGGCAGTACCATTCCTCAATTCCTAGAGTTGAGAGAGGTTTCTAAGGATTTCACCCTCCCCTCAGTGGAGTTACTACAAACAAGTCCCCCTCCCCAATCGTGGGGTTGTTGTGCTGCAGAACTCCATGCTGTCATGTTAGCCCCCTTCCTTAAATGGGGAGAAAACACAGTCTGCAGATTGTTTTCCACTCGTATTCTTTCTCTGGTGAAGTATAAATAAAGTGTCTATTTATCCTTTTCTTTTCTGCTCGCTTAACCCTCTATTGCACAATGCTGCCTTAGGGTGACAAACCCATTTTCATCAGTCTGCAATCACATTTTCATCTTCAGTGCATACAAAATGGCAATAAAATTGTTAATAATGAAGAGAAGACTTATAATAAAAGGCTGTTTTGGTCACACTACATCCTGATGGCTATGTTTTTGGTTTTTAGGCATAGTATACTGTTAAGGGGAAATAATTGCCATGTGAAAAAAATATTTTCTTAAAAGAAACCTGAAGAAAAAAAAAAGAATCTTGAGCACCAAATCACCATATTAAAATTATTTCTGAAGGATCATGTGATACTGAAGACTGGAGTAATGACTCTTGAAAATGTGGCTTTGCCATCACAGGAAAAATTACATGTAAAAATAGAAAAGTTTTTATTTAAAATTTTAATATTTCACAATATTGCCTTATTACTGTATTTTTGATCAAATAAGATCAAGACTTCTTTCAAAAATTTAACTCCCCAAATTTGAAATTGCTCAAATTATTTTATTAATGAGGCCTATTTTATGCAAGAAAACTGAATTAAATATTTTAACATTGCTTTAATGCATGCAATAGCGGATTAAATAATTTTGTATTAGAAAATAACCACCACTAAGACTGCAGACATGTAGACTTAACATTACTAGCACCCAGCTCACTAAACCGGTGCCAAGTACCATGGTGACACCCAGCTTCCATACACATAACACGCAAACACACATCCAATCCACATGACCCTCACAAGGCCCAAAGCTAATTTAAGACCTAAGGGAAGGAATCATTTTCAAAGTCTGGGTGGGCAACAAATACACTCCTCTAAGGCTTTCTGTAACATGTCTTACTGTCTCTATAATGAACATTTTCAGCACTGTACTGCAACATTATTCTAGGAAGCCTGGCGTCTTGAAGGCTCATATTTAGGGTCAAACACCTTTGCTTGGACCGAAAATGCCCTTATAATAATCAAAATAAGTAATATGGGAACATATAAATATTATTCATCAAATCATCTTTGTGTATATCATTTGCAAAGTTAAGTACTTTGAATTTTTAATTCACAGACAACTAGCGCCACCTGCAAATAAGAAATATGACACTATGAGCCATAACGAACAAAATACGGGCCTTAGGAAATATGGGCATCTTATATAATTTTTAAAACTCCTTTCAGACCAGTGGACTGACACTGACCTAGATCTGTCTCTCTATCCACAGCTTCTCAGGGCTTATCACTGCAGAAACATGCATTAGTGCACACACACACACACACACACACACACACACACACACACATAAACACACTCACAATGAACAATGCCCATTCTGGTGCAACTCATTCAGCTGTGATGCACAACCAGAGGACACATCCTGTAAGTGTGGTATCAAGCAAGTGTGCGCACTGCACACACACACACACACACACACACACACACACACACACACACACACACACACACACATAAACACACTCACAATGAACAATGCCCATTCTGGTGCAACTCATTCAGCTGTGATGCACAACCAGAGGACACATCCTGTAAGTGTGGTATCAAGCAAGTGGGCTGCACCAACCACAATGACAAAACAATGCTGTACTATATCAGTAATCATTTTTTTCTTGGATTACTGCTTTCTGAGGTCACATCCTAAATGTGTGTCTACGCCTGCCAGCATCTGTGTGGTGCTCACCGGATCAAAGGTCAATTTTATTTTTTTTTCTCTACTGCTGTGACCTCATTTGTCATGGCCCCTTGAATCCCATAATTCCGGATATTAGAGCAGACGGCTTACCACTGATACAGTAAGCGGAAAGGGTTAAAAGGTCAACACAAAACAAGGGAGGAACATCCTATCATCTCATTAAAGTGTGACAAACATGCAAAAAAATAAGAAATCAGGAAGGGGGCCAACACTTTTTCACACCACTGTATATGATCTAAAACTATTTGTAAACGTGTCTTTGCATATCTTTAGTAATGTGCCATTTTGGGTTAATGAATCCCACATCTGTGTTAATTACCAAAGTTGCTGATCCAAAAAAATAACACTAACAAAGCAATCTGCAACAAGTACATGTTAATATTCTGACATCTAAAGCTTCGTCTCTGACTCTCTGATGGAAAACCTTTGGAAAAATAATATTCTCAACACTTTAGGATCATAGGAAAATAATGGCCAATCACATTCAATGTACAGACATGGGCCAAATGGATTTAGATGTTCTGGTAAACCTTTAAACAGCATCTGTGACTAAGGAGAGCCCCTGATTCTCTCTGACTCCTCCAGTGAACTCTGTGACACAAAAAGCCTAAAATACTGTAATAAATGACCCAGTCCCCTAGCTTCCTCAACCCAGGCAGAGCTATTTTAAGATGTGGCGTACATGCAGTCCAAACAAATACATGCTTGTGTAAACAACAATCATAATAACTGCTACACTTCACCTCATCATATCTTGTCTATCTGCAGTCTCAAAATATTCTTCTTACATTTTCTTTCAGTCTTCACTTATAAGCTTCTGGCATATATACTATTAGTATGGTTTGAAATTGAATGAAAATAACATGGGATCACAGGAGAACATTAATCCCACTTATTTATTACTTGCAAATTGCCTTTTAAGAATAAATGGCCCTTCAAGGGTTCCCATAGTTTCTGACTAGACTTGTGCCGGTATTCGGTAATGCGGTATATCACGGTAATGAATATGCACGATATTGTTATTGTGGGCACTTCTAAATATCGTGACTAATAATATATTATAAATGATTCCGAATTTTGAATGCATTTTAAGAATACTTTTCCCATCAACTGGTCAAAATGCACAACACCGCTGTATGCTGC